GACAACCTCTGTCCTGGACCACTTCTGTCCTGGACCACTTCTGTCCTCTGACCACCTCTGCCCTGAACCACTTCTGTCCTCTGACCACCGCTGTCCTGGACCACCTCTGTCCTCTGACCACCTCTGTCCTGGACCACTTCTGTCCTCTGACCACCTCTGCCCTGAACCACTTCTGTCCTCTGACCACCTCTGTCCTGGACCACCTCTGTCCTGGACCACCCCTGTCCTCTGACCACCTCTGCCCTGGACCACCTCTGTCCTCTGACCACCTCTGCCCTGGACCACCCCTGTCCTCTGACCACCTCTGCCCTGGACCACTTCTGTCCTCTGACCACCTCTGTCCTGGACCACCTCTGTCCTGGACCACCCCTGTCCTCTGACCACCTCTGCCCTGGACCACCCCTGTCCTCTGACCACCTCTGTCCTCTGACCACCTCTGCCCTGGACCACCTCTGCCCTGGACCACCTCCAGTTGGAGGCTTTGCTTGGGACTCAGTTCATTGCTCAGAAGTCAGTTCTGCTCCTTTGTGTTGGGGGGCAAAGTGCAGGCCATGAGGCCCTTGGGCAGATTTGTTGCTCTTGCCACCCTGTCAGCACATCCCCTGCGCCAGCCTCTGTGCCAAGGCTCTGTAGCCAGGAGACAGCCTGGGATGTGGGGAGTCCGCCTGGGAGGATGGGGCCAGGGAGATGGGTTTCTATCCTCTGGTGCTGAGGAGCATTGATTTCCATTTAAAGCAGTTTAAACTGATCATTTTCTAAAACCCACCTGCTGGGGACTGGAAATACTGGGGGGTGGGAGGAACTTGGGAAAATATTTGACTGTCTAACCCTTATGTACATCGGAAACGAATCCAAAATAGAACTGAACGTAAACTGTAATGAAAGAATATTAATTAAAAAATTAGAAATTAAGCCCTTGCCAGTTTTTGATTCCCAGTCAAGGGCATGTACCTGGGTTACAGTTCAATCCCTGGCCCTGGTTGGGGCTCAAGGGGGATGCAACCAATTGCTGTGTCTCTTGAATCAATGTCTCTCTCTCCCCCTCCCTCCCTTCCTTCCACTCTCCAAAAATTCAATGGAGAAAAAACTATCCTCGGGTGAGGGTTAAAATAAGTAAGT